AAGAGGCTATGGATGCAAATCAAGACTTGGAAGTCAGGTGGTCTACGGCCTATGAAAAGCAGTTAGCACGGAAGCTTCCCCTATTGATGGTCTGATAACATACCTTGTCAAGGTTGTAGTCGAACTTCTCCAGAGCTGAGAGGGATTCTTCTCTGGGGAATCCCATGCCTGTCAGCCGCTGGAGAATCTGATCGTCTTCGGTGCCCGTCTGAAGAGCCCAGCCGGGTTCTTTGCTGGCTTCTGTATTGCCCGTTCCGTTTGCTCCGTCAGCAGCAGCATTGGCGTTGTCAAGAGGAGCAAACAGTGCTTCCCAGTCGTGAGTCTGAGATTTCGCGCTGGGTTCGGAAGGCGGTGCAGCAGAGCCAGGAGGCGAGGAAGATACGTTCTTGTCAAAGTTGAAAAAGTCTGAGGAGGCGACATCCGCACCTTGATGGGGAGAAGTCTTCTGTGCTGACGGGTTGTCGAATGAGAAATCGAAGTCCACACCGGCTTTGGCGTTATCAGGCGCTTCAAAGTCGTCATCTTCATCTTCGGCCTCCTTTGCTGGAGCCAGGTTGAGGCCGGCGAAAGCAGCTTCAAAGTCAGGTGCGCCTGCCTTGGCCCCTTGGGGAGCAGCCTCGGGTTCCTTTGTCCCGTCACGTTGGGCTTCACCACCCACAATCGGTGCCCCTGTGCTCGACTCTACTGAGTGTGGAGCATCGGGGGCAGTGGTTGGGTCTTCACGGTTCGGTAGGAGTCCGTTGTACTCGCGTGGCAAGTCTCCTGGCTCCTGCTTTTCAACGGTGTCCTCATACTTTGGGGGGCTTGGCTGCGATTCCGCCGCAGGGGGCTGGCTTGCAGTGTCCGCATTGCCAGGAGTGGGGAACGCTGCCAGTTGGGACGGCTCAATAGAATCGGGGTTGGGTGCTGCGGCGATTTGAGTCTGTGGAGGGAAGGCGGGGGTGAAATTATCCTCAAAGCCCAAGGGGGCTTCGCTGTCGGAGCTCTCATCTCCATCGTCAAGTTCGCGAATGGGAGGAAACTCTGACTCAGGAGCGGCCGGGGCTCCGTTCGATTTGCTTGCTCCAGGCCCACTCTTCATGGCAGCAAAGGCTTCTTCAAAATCATTCTCTTTCTGTGACTTAGAGCGCTGATGTGCTGGCCCACCGAACAGTTCATCAAAGCTGAGATCTTTGCGCTCTGCAGGCTTGTCATCTCCAGAAGGTGATACAGCGCCAACTGCAGGTGGTTCACTTGCGGCGATGGTTGGAATATCGGGGAATCGCTCTCTTGATTCCTCGCTTTCATCGAACGGAGAGGTGGCGGGCTGTGCCGACGAAGGACCTGCCACTTCACTGGTTGCTGCCTGCGAGGCAGTTCCTAGGCTGGCCGTGTCTTGGCCACCAAATCTGCTACCTGGGGGTGAGACCTTTGTTGAAGAAGTCGCCGAATGGGTCTCTCCAAGAGGCAAGACACCCGGTGTCAGTTGCCTAGACTGAGCCGGGGCAGGAGGCTCCAACCCAGGACCAGGAGCGAATGGAGGCGGAGACACTGACGGAGTGGGCACCCCAGACGTGGGCTGAGATTCAGCCCGGAAAGACACTGGAGGCGGTGGTGTAGCGGTTGTCGGTGGTGAGGTGAAGGCAGAACCGAACAGGCTATCAAAGGCACGCTGCTGATCGCCAGAAATCTGCGGAGATAGCGCATTGCCCTCGCTCGATCCAGTAGCCGTACGCTTGAAGAACGGGTTGGTATTTTGACTCGTCGTCGACTCGGCTGGGCTCATAACAGGAGCGGCATCACTTGGGCTGACAACTCTCTCCTCCGACGCTTCAGGCTGCTCCTTGGACAAAGAATCGATCTCGAGCTGGATCTTGTCGCGCTCTCCCTCCACAGTTGCCAACTGCTTCTTATTGATCGCGACGAGACCCTTTTGTTGCCGGGCCTCTGAGCGAGCCTTATCGAGGGCAGGCTTGAGCTGAGCAACTGCAGCGTTGGCTTGGCGGATCTTCTCCTTCAAGCTTACGTTCTCCTGCTGATCAGCGCTGAGTGCAGCTGATACCTGGTTATACTGGTTTTGTAAATCCTGACGGCTTCCTTCGATCAAGGCATACTCCTGCTGCAACTTGCCAGTTTCTGCCCGTGAAGCATTGAGCCGTTCCTCCAAAGCTTTGAAGTTCTTCACTTCTTGTTCATACATCGAGCGGGCCTGAGCGAGACGAGCCTCAAAGTCTCTCTTCTGCTGCGAGGTTTGCGACAGATCCTGCTCGGCAGATGTTCGCTTCGTTTGGACGTTCTGCATCTCAGTAGCCAGCGAACCGATCTGATTAGACAGATTTGCAAGCTCGGTGGTTTCCTGAGTCAGTTTGTTTGACTCTTCAGGGTCGTTGTCTCCCAAAAGATCATCCGCCGGGGGCGGCGGCGACCTAACGGGTGGCGGAGCACCAGCTGAAGCGCCAGTCATCTGTGGCTGCAGGGTCTGTCCAAAAGATGAAGTCGGCACAAACGGCTTGAAGGTAGTTGAGGGAGCCTGGGGAGATGCTCTCGAGCCGGGGGAACCAGGAGTCTGGAAGGCGGCATTCGAACCCCCGGTTGACTGCGGAATTTGGGAAGGAGCTACCGGCGGTGCCGGTGCCGGCGCAGAAAGTGCATCTAGGCCAAACAGATCGTCAGCCGCCGAGTGTGGTGTGGGAACCGGCGCTGGAGCCGGAGCTGGTGCTGGTGCCTGGGCAGGAATAGGAGCTGCTGGGCCGAAATGCGAGGATCCAGGGCGGCGCATGCTCGGAGGGATCAAGGCAGGAGGCAATGTCTGAGGCAGCGCCTCCTTTCCACTACGCGTTAGGCGAACCAGATACATGGCGACGGCAAACTCATCCTTGGTCAACTGTCCGTCCGCATCTATATCTGCGAGATCCCAAATCTGAGCTAGTGTCTCCTCAGGCAACTGTGCACCCAGGAAGAAAGCGACAGCCTGGTCACCACTAATTGAACCTGCCTTGGCCGTATCAACCGTAGCAAAGATGTTGTCAAACATAACCTTCTCTTGCGGCGAGATAAGCCAGTCACCACCAGTAGCTTGGGCGGAGAGAGGGGAGCCGAACGGTTGCCTATTGATCGGACTCTGCGTGCGCTGGGGTCCAGTGAATTGCTTCGGAATCGCAGGCACCGGAGGAACCTCAAGACCTTGACGGGAACCGACCGATGAGCGGAGAGAGCCTCGGCGAGCGGCAGCATCATAGAGAGCGGGTGGAAGTGTCTGAGGAATTCCCCTCATCGCACCGGACTTGTAGGACGTAAGGAGGTGCATGGCAATGACAAATTCCGTAGCATCTAGAGCACCCTGTTGCCTTCTATCCGCCAGGTTCCAGATGCGACCAAGGATCTCGTTCGGTAACCGCGCACGCTCGAATATTTGCTTAGCTGTCTCGCCTGTCATGATGATCTTGTTAGCGACTGTGTCCACGGTTTGTCGGCCTCGGGGCGCTGGCTGGAGGGACATATGTATGTACCTGGCAGTACCCCACTTTTGGACACATCCGATTTCTCAAACAGCGACAAGAATTTGTTCACATCGTCGGGGTTCAGCGGAGGGACCCGGATCGGCGCATTCGCGCCCGGAGTAGGGCTGGTAGTGCCTGCTTCACGCGGATTTGGGGTGGCATCGACAACGATCCCTTCGAACTTGGGCAGGGGTCCAGCTGCAACGGCGAACCATGTCAGCAAAGGTTGCACTCTCATCATTGTTTCTATCGAGGCCAGAACGAGCACCTAGAATTCACTCACGTTGAAAGGCCAGTTCCTCTGTAGGTGCGCGACCCGCCTGAGCGTGTCCGATCAGCCGCATGACGACACCAAACCCAGAAGGGGTCAATAGACCCCGATTTTCCTTGTCTGCGATCTGCCATATCTATATCACGTCGCCATGATCCAGTTAGCCGTCCGTATCCGATTGCGATCGCGCGGAGGAAAGCTTTCCCCGAGAGTGGTAGGCAACGACATACCAAGCCGAGGGTTTCCGGGGCCAACTGGGTCTTCTCGAAGAAAGGAACCGCGACCTCGCCGGTGATGACGCCAAGGTTGGTGGTATCGGCGGCCTGGAAGAGTTGATAGAAGACCCGTTTCTCCTCTGGAGTCAGGTTGAGATTGAGGTTCCGAGCTGTTTGGGGGGAGAAGAGAGCATCCGTCAGTTCCGTTGTTCGGTCGTCATCGTATTCGACGGGGTTGGGCCGTTGTCCCCTGAGAGCTCGGGCGGGCGACAATTGTGCAGCCCAGGACACGAGGACTCACCGTTATCAGCCATAATTATAGCTCAGGAGGAGCTAGCCTCCCTTCCGTAGAATCGCTGTGCGCCAAATAATTGACCGAGAAATTCCGGACGGGGGAGTGTTGAAGCAGAGCAGGAGAGACGGCTGTCAACCTTGAAGGTGGAAGACAGCACGGGGCATGGATGGCCAAGGCGGCAGCAGTAGCTCTTCTGAGGGGAACTTAGTAAACGGGGGGGAGAGAATGTCGCGAGGCAGGATTGCCAGAAGCCACACAGCAGAGGGGGAATGGGAAGGTCCGACAGCTGAAGAATGAGGACAAGTCCGAGGGGGAAGGGGGGAAAAAATAAAAAAAGGTATAGTAACCCAGATGTTAATAAAATTAGGGGAGAAGGGGGAGCAGGAGGAGTAAGTAGGAGGAGGGAGGAACTGGCGACCAGAGTAACTAAAGCGAGCCGAGCACCGCAGGCAGAGGGGCGGCCCAGCCAGAGACAGCTCCTACATTAATTAACTGCTACTGCTACTGCTACTGCTATGCTCCCCCGGGCGGTCAGTCAGCCACTCACTCAAGTACTACCGACGTCAGTCCAGTTCATTTCCCAGTCTCTCTCCACCCTCCAGGGTCCATGGATTACTGAATCCCTGGAGGCTCACCCGGTCGGCACGAACCCGACTGATGTATGCACCTCGGCGGAAGCTGTTCCTCCTTTTCTGGATGTGGCGTTATTTAGAGTAGGATCTCATAGAGTTTACTTTCCCATCTCAAAAGCCATCCCTCCTATTCTACCACCATTCACTCCTTTCGCCATGCAATACGAACCACGGGAGAGTACTGGTAACAGCGCATATCCTCGCTCATCGTCATTTTCTTCTCATTTTACCACTACAGGGATGATCATCAATTCGCTCGAAACTTGCAAAATGTAGATTACAATTCTCTTAGGCGCCCAAAAATCCTGCATATGTGTTTCGAACGAGCGAGTAAATTTCAGCGCTGCTTCAAGGGATATTAGAAAATATACTCAGACAAAAAGAAAACATAGTCTGTACTACGGAGCCAAGCTTCTCCTTCCTATTTGCATGCAGCCAGAGTCCCGCTGCTCATTTGGGTATACAACCTTGGCCAACGCCTTGCCCCAACGGATCAATTCACATTGCTGCAGGGCCAGCCACGGCTTCCACCCGGACGGCCCGGCTGGACCCCCCGCGGGACTCCCGCCCAAAATTCGGTCAGATCTAGTACTCGGCCTCAACCTCCTCCTCCAGGGAGTCGCTGGCAACCTCCTCATAATCGCGCTCGAGGGCAGCCAGGTCCTCACGGGCCTCGGAGAATTCACCCTCCTCCATACCCTCACCAACGTACCAGTGGACGAAAGCACGCTTGGAGTACATAAGGTCGAATTTGTGGTCCAGAGCGGACCAGGCCTCGGAGATGGCGGTGGTGTTGGACAGCATGCAGCTAGAATTGATCAATCGTTAGCTTTTTTACTCCTCTGAAAAGAAGCATATCAGATGGAGAAGAACTTACACAGCGCGCTTGAGGTTGGCAAGGTCGCCGTTGGGGACCTGCTGGGGAGGCTGGTAGCAGATACCGATCTTGAAACCAGTAGGGCACCAGTCGACGAACTGGATGGTGCGCTTGGTCTTGAGCGTGGCGACGGCAGCGTGGGTCTCCTTGGGGACGACATCACCACGGTACAGCAGGCAAGTGGCCATGTACTTGCCGTTGCGGGGATCACACTTAACCATCTGGTTGTTGGGCTCAAAGCAGCTCATGGTGATCTCGCTGACGGAGTTGGACTCGTGGGAGGCCTTGTCCGCGGAGATGACGGGGGCGTAGGCCACCAGAGGGAAGTGGATACGGGGGTAGGGGACCAGGTTGGTCTGGAACTCGTTGAGATCGACGTTGAGGGAACCGTCGAAACGGAGAGAAGCGGTGATGGAAGAGACAACCTGAGCAATCAGGCGGTTGAGGTTCTCGTAACTGGGGCGTTCAATGCCGAGGTTGCGGCGGCAGATGTCGTAGATGGCCTCGTTGTCAACCATGAAACTGCAGTCGGAGTGCTCAAGGGTGGTGTGGGTGGTAAGGATAGAGTTGTAGGGCTCAACAACGGAGGTGGCGTTCTGAGGAGCAGGGTAGACGCAGAATTCCAGCTTGGACTTCTTGCCGTAGTCAACGGACAGACGCTCCATCAGGAGAGCACCGAAACCGGAACCGGTACCACCACCGAAGGAGTGGAAGACCAGGAAACCCTGGAGACCGGCGCAGTTGTCGGCAACACGGCGGACCTTGTCGAGGACCTGGTCGATCATCTCCTTGCCGACGGTGTAGTGACCACGGGCATAGTTGTTCGAGGCATCCTCCTTGCCAGTGATCATGTTCTCGGGGTGGAAAAGACTGCGGTAGGTACCGGTGCGGACCTCATCGACAACATTGGGCTCAAGATCGCAGTAGATGGTGCGAGGAACGTACTTGCCCTGACCTATACATCACAATTTGTTAGGGTGGGCTGCAGGCGAAAAGGAGAGCAGGGTGCACTGAGTGGGGAGAGCTATGGAAACGTACCAGTCTCGGAGAAGAAGGTGCTGAAACCGTGGTCGGGGTCATCCTTCTTGCGCTCCTCGGTCAAGTAACCGTCGGCCTGGCATCAGCAAGCAAAGGTCAGTGGGATTGCTCATCGACGTGGAGTGGCAACGCTCGACAAAGGCGTGCCTAGGCGTTTGTTTTCACATACCTGGATACCGTGCTCAAGGCAGTAGAGCTGAACAACATCGTTAGTCCACTGATTATCCCCATGATTCATGGCATATGCCCATGTTGTTGACTTCAAAATATTGTTTCAGGAAAGGAGGGGTCGATTTCCCCTGTTTGAACATACCTCCCAGCAGGAGTTGGCAATCTGGCAACCAGCCTGACCAACTGTGAGGGGGGAAACACAAACATTAGTGACCACGCGAAAAATCAAGTGGCGGCGAAGGAGGGGATTGGGCACACACCGTTCAAAGAAATAACTTCTCTCATTTTGGCGAGTCGAATTGATAAGTTTCAGATAGTGATTGATGGAGGGACACGGAGTGGGCGTGGAATGTGGACAGAGGGAAAAATTAAAATACCCAAGGGCGATCTGTACGGGGGTTTCAGGGGTAAAGTTAGTAACCTAACGAGCCACCACAACACAGGGCACGAAAGGGGGTTAATTGGAGATGGTGAATTGGATGAAGAGGGAGGGAAAGGAAGATTCAAGGGAAAGGGAACAGGTGGGAAATTAGTAAAAACGGGGGGGGAGGGAGGGAGAGGCCACGAACCCTGGGGAACTGTTTGGTTAGTGACAATGGAGGAGCAGGACGAGAATCGGTCGACTCGATTTGTTGTGGTCTTTCATGCGCTGTCAACCCAACGATGCCGCCGTGGTTGATCCGTCCGTTGGGTCGCGTTGGGCTATGAGTCTTCTGATTGGCTGCTTCCCACCTGGCGGTCAACAGCTGAGTCAGCACCCTGTTCCGGTTAAGATCTGGTCACGTGGAGAGCAGTGACGGCATGACGAAAGATCGCCGAACATCAGCCGGATCATCGCAGTCCATGGATTGCTCACCACCATTACCAATGCAATTGCCATGATTTCCTCTTTCAATTGATCACTTGTCCTCGTCCTACTCATTCTGACACTGTAACCTATACATCCATATCAAACACGAATATCCCTGAAATCAACATCAAGGATATTCCATCTTCCACCCTCCACCGCAGCTCCGATCTAGATCTCCAGCAAAGCTTCAGACAAGTACCTATCCCAATCCCACACTTCTCACACGATATCAAGTCCTCTAACGCAACATCGCAGGCCCATTCCGACTTTTCTGCCACTCTATCTCCAACAATGACCATATAAAACAATACTGCACACCACAAAACACCCCCTCATCGACCATAACCAACCAACAATGCTTCTCACCCTTCCCCTCCTCCCCCGCCATGTCCCCTCCTCTATCCCTTACCTCATCCTCGCTTTCCTCCTCTTCACAGCCCTCGTAACCGCCAACGTCGAGAAGACCATCTTCCTAGCCCCTCCCCCTACCACAATTCCAACCCCACATCCGCCAATCGACGACCTAGGTCTCGCGCGCCTCTCCCCCTCCCACCCCATCCTCCGCACACACCTCAACGCATCCTTCCCAACCCAGTTCTCACCAGGGACCGAATCCTGGTTCTTCCTCCAAAACCTCACGCCTGGTCGACGCTATGAAGTACGCATATGCTGGCTAGCAACTGTACGTGACCCTTCCACCCTATCCCCACCGAACCCCAAACCCACCCATCTACCCTCATACCTAGCCTATACTGACTCTATGGGGAAAAAAGCAACCAACATCCTTCACCCTTACAACATACACCCTCCCGCACGCCCTCTCAGACACCTTCCTCCTCTCCTCCATAACAAACTACTCCTCCCTGCGCCTCGCCAGCACCCCAAACTCCGAACTCGACCTCGACCTCGACGACACAACCACCACCAACTTCAACCCCGAAACCCCCCTCGACAGCAACGAACCCATCACGGACTCCGTCCTGTTCCTACGTATCCGCGCCGCGGCAGATTACTACACCACGGATAAGGAGCTGATGACACATGTGCCGCCCGTGGCGGTGGATGTGATTCTGGATCCGTTTCTGGGTAATGTGTTTCCGCGGTCGTTGGTGCCGACGGCGTGCTACGGGGTGATTGTGGCTGTAGTGGCTGTTTTGGTTGGAAAGTGGGTGGTTGGGGAGTTAGGGAGAGTGGTAGATGATATGGCTGAGGAGAGGGAGAAGGAGGAGGGAGATGAGGATGTGGATGGGGATGGGGAGGTAGTAGTAGATGGGGTGAGAGAGGGGAAGAAGGTGCGGTGATTTATGATCTTTCCTTGAACGGGTATATACATGCGTGCATGATTATTGTGGATGATATTTGCATATGGGTATATTACTACTTTCGGCACTTGTATGATTACTGTTTACATATCATCATGTTACCCAGATTTAGTGACAAATTATCATGACATTCCTTTTTCTTCACATCATGGTCATCCGTACATACATACAACATGGCTTCATTACACAGGCGCTGCGTCTATCTTACCGTCTTTGTATGAAAGCACATCCAAAAACGAGAAACACAGAACAAAAGTAGCCCTAAAACATACAGTCATATCGATCGCTCCACGACTAAGACAACAAAAACAATAGGGGGAATATCTAATGCGAACCATTCATCCCAAGCAAATAAAGCACAGAGGCATGATATAACGTAAACAAAACACATCAAAAAGCCATATAGATCTACCTGTAGTCAGATCTCCATAACAAACACGCCATGACCTCATTCCAAGATTAGTAAATAGAGTAGAGAGGATATTCAATATCGCAGGTAGATTGATCAATCTTCAAAGAAATGCAGCACCGCACGCATACCCTTACTGCCCAGGCCGTGCGGCGGATAAGCAATATAGAGCGGGTCGTCCTCGGCGCCAAGCTTAGCCCGGAACTCACTCTTGCGCACCAGATGGAACTGCTTGGCCATGGTGTCGTAGGTGTGCTGGAGCATCTTGATGCGCGCGCCGCGGAGGTTATGGCCGGGGGTGAGCGAGGACATGGCGCCGGCGCCGAATGTGAAGGACTTGACGCCAGCGGCGGCGGCTGTTTGAATGGCGTGGGTGACGATGTGTTCGATAACGCCGTTAGGGGAGCCTGGGAAGTCGAAGCTGTATTTGATCTGCATGCCGTGGACGGGGGCGAGCGTGGCCAGGGCGACGAAGGCGCAGATGGTGCCCTCCTTGTCGACGGCATAGAAGTACCAGCGGTGCTCGGGATCGCGCCAGGGGCGGATCTCGGACAAGTGTACCTGTGTGCCCTTGCGGTTGTTGAGCCAGTCCTGGACGCGCTGGTCGATCTTCTGGCGGACCTCGTCGGAGACCATCTCGCCTCTGTTCACGGTCACAATCTTGACGCCCTCACTTTCGGCGTGTCGGATCTTGCGGGCGATCTCGCCGTCTGAGGCTGCCATGTTGCGGGCTGGGTTTACGCGCTCCTCAGCGATGCAGGACAGCGTTCGCCAGCCCATGCGCTCGCCCAGGATGGTCTCGACTTCGGCGGAACAGAGCAGCCAGACGGGCTTGTACTTGGTCTCCCGCCGCAGCCACTGCAGGAACTGTGTGATCACTTGGCGGTACTGCTTGGGGTCGCACAAGGGGTTGCCTGGAATGATCACATAGTTGCTGCTGCTGGGGACGTACGAGATGGCGGCCCCGGTGCCCATGTCACGCCAGATCTTGAAGCGCTCATCGCCCCAAGAAGTGGAGGTAGCATCGCCGTAATTGGCAATGAGATGCTCGAGTGGCTGGAGCTCACTCGTATCCTGTGCGATGACACCCTTTCTGTCGCGCGCCCACGGAGGATCGATGGTCGATGACTCCGGGTGCCGCAGCTGTGCCGCCACCGGCTTGGCCGGAAAGCTGCGGGGGTCGCGAGGGAAGAGTGATGCTAGGCGAATATTGCCCAGTTTCAGAAGCAGCATCAGCAGACGCTCCAGACCAACACCAGCTCCAGCGTGGGGTGGCGCACCCCAGCGGAAGCCCTCCATATAGTCTTCCATAGTATCGGGGTCAATTCCAGAGCGACGCATGTTCTCCTCGAGCATATGGGGGTCGTGGATACGCTGGCCACCAGAGACGATCTCCTGACCGCGGATGAAGATGTCGAACGAGTTGGTGTATCGGTCATCCTCGGGGTCGGGCATGGTATAAAAGGGGCGTGCGCTGGCAGGGAATTTATCAAGGATGTAGTAGTCGGTGCCATACTTCTCCTTGACCAATTCACCCAGGCGAATCTCATCGCGAGTGTGGAGGTCCTCATCCTCTGGCAGCGGGTTTCCATCCTCGTCGCGCCAGCCGGAGTCATTCAGCATCTTGATACCGTCCGAGAAGCGCAGGATGGGGGTCTTCTCCAGCCATACAACATCTTCTGATGGGAATTGGTGCTTTACAGTCTCCACCTCGCGGCGGTAACGACCATACACACCTTGAAGGATGGACTTGATAACCGCATCCAGCACTTCCAACATTTCATGGTAGTGCTCCTCAATGGCCATCTCAATATCTAACCCGGTATACTCGGTCAGATGACGGTGGGTGTTGGAGTTTTCCGCTCTGAACACAGCGCCAATTTCGTATACACGACCAAAGTCGGCGGCGATAGCCATCTGCTTGGCTAGCTGAGGACTCTGTGCCAGGAAAGCATCACGCCCGAAGTACTGCACGTGGAAGACACTGGCGCCTGACTCGGTCGCTGAGCCTTGCAGTTTGGGTGTGTGGATCTCCATGAAGCCTTGCTCATCGAGAGCGAATCGGAAGAGGTTGCAGATGGCGGATTGAATGCGGAAGATGGACTGAGAGGTCGGGGTGCGCAAGTCGAGTAGACGATTGGTGAGACGAACGCGATCGGGGATGTGACTGCGGCGGCCTTCGATGCGCTCCTCTTCGGCCGTTTGGATCTCTGCCTCATAGATACTAAATGGGACGGGCTCCTCGCGACGCACGACCTGATGCAGCTCGTCGATGGAGATCTCGACGTCGTGGATGGTACAGCCCAAAATCGGCACCTGAGGCTTCTGTATAGTTCCCCGCACACGGACAATGGAACCCAAACGCAGATGCTCAGCCCAGTGAACCATGGCGATAGACTTGACACCTGCCTCCTCATGCAGAACACCCTGGAAGGTGAGCAGCTGCTGGCGGAACACGAGGAAGACCAGCTTGGCACTCATGCGACGGATGATATGTAGACGAGCTGTAAAACAGACCTGCTGGCCCACCAAGGACTCGGAGATGGCATCTAGATTGGTACGGACCTCACGAGGGCGTGTCCGGGACTGTATCAGCGGCAATTCGCCATAGCGAGCCTTCATCTCCGAGGTCTCCTCGCGGGTGGCATTGGCGACTTCCTCCTTCCGACGCGAATCAGATTCGTCGGAATGACGCTCCTCGCTCAGACGGGACTTCTCTTTACGCTGTTTACGTGCCAGACGTTTCTGCTGGTTCTTGCTGATGCTGCCAGGCGACGAGGAGTCATCTGAGCCGTCATCGGAGGAAGAGGCATAGTCGCGATCACGCAGGAAGTTGCTGAGAATGCTGCGGCGGGGCGACATAGATGCAGCCGAGGCCGGGGTACTGTGACTCGACTCATCGTCGGGAGACGACTTGTTGGGTACAATCTTGGAGAGCGCACGTTTGATAGACATGATGGGGGCGGGAGGATGGGAGTCAACTCCCATGTGATGTGATAAATAGGATTGAATGGACGAAGATGAGGAAGAATGACCGTCAATGACGGGGGAGATGAGAAGGAGGGGAGGAGGATGGAGGGGGAGAGAGAAAGAGGGTACCGTCAGCGCTTATAAGTAGAAGGAAGAGTTGGGTTGGGCCCAGGGTTTTCCAAGACAATTAAGGTTAGTAGGAGAGCTTAGCAGGGGCCTTACAAACCCAAGAGTTGGCCAGAATGTGAGAGAAGTAGTCGAATTATTAACAGCATAAGCGTGCAAAGTAAAAGAAGAAATACGAGGGAGCAAATAAAGGCTGGCGGGTCGATCCCGAGGCAGTGATGTCATGCCTGTGATGATGCAAAACCCGGGATATCAATTAAAATACTATGTAATAAAACGATTACTACAGAGTGGAAACAGGGTCCAGTTCAGGAATGAAGGACCGATGATGTGGTCCAAGACTCTTTTTTGCCAACTACTAGAGCGGTTCCCATTCCTAATTCTAATTTCCCTTCTTTTTTCTTGTCAACGTCTTGCATGAACTGCATGACTACTATTCTGTGTCATCCCAACCATCATCTCTTGGCGGCTTCTTGTTACTTTGGATCTCTGTCTTCCTCGGCAGCTGCTTTCCGTGGATCAGACAGCCCTTAATCCCTCTCCAAACGTAAATTAATCGCCTTCCATTCCAATCAACTGATTGCTATTCTTGAACGGAAGGTCAGACAGATCAGGTCAGGTCTGGGTTGCCTCCGACTACCCGGGCACTCCCTCGGGATTATCCTCAAAATTAACTCTTTGCATTCTCACACATTCTCTCCCTCTCTTCCCCATCTGTTCCTGCCTCGGATCTCTCGTAACCTTCTTCTCACAACTTACCTCTTTTATACTCTTCTTTCCGCTGTATGGCCATTCCATCATGCCGTCTTCCCGCTGGTGGCTCTATGTCCAAGCCATTGTCTGGCGCTTTTTGATGCGCATTGGCATGTTCCTGCACGATGTCACTCCTCCGCGACCTCCGCGGCCTGCCTTTGTTCGCACTATTCCCACCGGTTCGGGTCAGATCCGTCTCTGCTTCTACACGCCACCCAACTACCCCATCACTCGCAAAGAAGGTCGTCGTCTGCCCGTCGTGGTCAATTTCCACGGAGGAGGCTTCACGCTAGGATGCCCCACAGATGACAGTCGCTGGGCGCAGTGTGTGCTCGGAGAAGTCGGCGCGGTGCTGGTCAGCGTCGGATACCGTCGTGCTCCCGAACATCCGTTTCCCGCCGCCGTCGACGACGGCGTCCTCGCCCTGCAGTATCTCGCTGCCCACGCCGTCGAGCTGGGCTTGGACGTCTCGCGCATCGCCCTGTCCGGCTTCTCCGCTGGTGGTAACCTCGCCATCACCGTACCCCTCCGGCTGCGCAGTATTCTCAGTGAGCAGCAACAGCAGCAGCAACGCGACCAACAAGACGCCCTCGAACCTCGCAGCAGTCCGCCCAACTTGGGCCCCTACGACTCCACCCAGCAACTAGTATCCGCCGCCTCCTCCAGCGAAATTAACATAGTGGCCCTCTTCTGCTGGTACCCAATCCTCGACTTCGAAGAGTCGCGTGACCATCGTCGCGCCATGAGCCTCATGCCCAGTAAGACCCTCCCAGCCTTCTTCACCGACCTCTTCGATGAGTCCTACTTGCCTACGCGCGAGGAGCGGGTCTCGCCCTATGCGTCGCCCGTGCACGCCACGGATGAGATCCTCGCCGATGCCCTGCCGCACGATATCTTCTTCTATATTTGCGAATGGGATATGCTTCTCAAGGAGGGCCAGGTGTTTGTGCGACGTCTGCAGAATATCAACAAACATGTCCGCGCCATGATGATCGAAAAGGCGCCACATGCATGGGATAAATCGCCCAATCCATTCCGCGACCAAGATAAAGTTGATATTCTCTACCGCGATGCCTGTGCTGATATGAAGCATATCTTTGGTGCGTAGACTCATCCCCTTACCTCAAAGGATGGGCGGTACATGAAACTCATTGCGTTTTTCTTTTCTTTTTTTTTTTTTTCCCACCTTAACATCCTGGTCTGTATAAACTATCCCTTTTCCTTATACATCCTATCATTATAACTCCTTGGAGTCATTGGCGTTACTTTGGGTTTTCGATCATCATTAGAATCGTTACATCATCCTTACTACACACACACATGCACACACACATCTACATGTACACTAGACGACGATCATTGATTACTACCGAAGTTTACTGCATGCATAAGCGATTGACTTGCATCATCTTTCCCAGAACAATTGGCGGGTAACAGCCAACGGTCTTTCCAACCAAACATTCTCTACCAATAGTACTTAGTACTTATCCTTCCTACTGAACCATGTGTATTACATAACACGTACTAGAAGCTCCTTCCCCATAATACTAATACTAGAAGTACTTGGTTGTATTTTCCAAATCATCTCGATACCATCATCTTCACATGTAGAAACGGAAAACTCCCTCCTCCTTCTCCTCTTTTACATAATGATCGGTAAATTATTCAATGTGCCGAGGTAGATAAAGTAAGTTGAGATGGATTTGGACATCCATGGGCATGGACTTCCATGTTAACACTCTAGCTTAAACAGGTACTCAACCTGATGTTTTTGGTAGGTCGAAACATGTAAAAACAACTACTATCACTGGTCTTTGATGTTTACGCATGTTCAGAATATTCAATGAAAATTTTTATTTTGTTGATTGTTCATTCTCTTCTACCCCGCAGATGTCATCTTACATCTGTCCATCCATTCATCCATTCCAGCCATCATCGTCCATCGTCCATCATTATAAAACCAACACGGTACCAGTCTCTTTACAGCAGACCTGGCAACGTAGACAGGCAGATAACAAGCAGGCATATGCAACATATGCATGCGTGTATAAATCAATCAAATGAAATCAAATCTCCATACGCCGCGCTAAATTCCCACCCATGAAACAACAAAAACTAGATATCAAGAGAACTTTTCTTCTTTTCAGAGGAACATAAAAAACCTGCTGAGATGGCATAATCGCAAACAGATTGGGGGTATTGTGCTCGCCAATAGAACGAGAGACAGATAGAGAGAGAAATAAAGAAGCACTTTTGAGTTATTCTTTTGAAAGGTCTTGACGCATCACAATTCGTCATCTGTTTCGGTCCCATCGCTGAGGTCTTCATCCGACTCGTTGTCGTCCGCTTCGCTGTCCGAGTCGTCGTCTTCATCTAGACCTGGGATGCCGCGCCAGTGGACGTAGTCGTTCTCCACCCAGCGGCGGCTGCGCGGGAGTTGGTAGGGGTCAAAGGGGAAGTAGGCGTCTAGTTGGTAGCCGAGGTCGTCGCCGGCGCGAATTTCTCGTTCCACTTGGCTGAAGCGCGGATCGGCCATGGCGCCGATGCTGCGGTATGAGGACACGCGCAGTCGCTTGTTTGTCTCCAGGATGCTGAACACGTACATCAGGTTGAAGTGCTGCGACATCCGCGCGAACTGGGACACGATTGCGGGCGAGCACACCTTCAGCGGGTTCAGCTTGGAGTGGATGGCCTGGTGCAGCACTTCCTTGACGGACGGCGGGAACATGATGTCCTCCGGTTCAAGCTCGTCGACTTGGTCCGGAGTGTCGCCCTCCAGCGCAGCCGTGGTCAGGTCTCGCCAGCGGAAGCAGAAGATGTAGAGCAGGGCCTGAGCTGTGGAGTAGAAGGGGCCATAGCGGCGGAGGTCGGGGCCCCGGCAGGTGGCTTCATAGTCAAGACGGAGGCTGTTCAGATACGTGCCCAGCAGATCGAACACATCCCGGACAACCTCACCAGAGATATGAGCTCCGCGAGCAACGAAGCTGGCGAGATAAGCAGCAGCTGATTGGCGCATGATGGCTGGCTGCGTCTTGTTGAAGATAAGCTCGGTGCACATTGCGGCAAAGCGGTCCACCAGGATGGGGGATGACTGGGAGAAGTGGAAGAGGAGGAACTGGGAGTGGCGCGAGCGGTATGTGGGGAGGATAATGTTCTGGAAATGGCTCATCAAAAGATCGAAGGCATTCTCCTTGTCATCCAGGGAGCCCAGCGTGAACGGGGGCGCATAGTATTCGAACATGGTGTCGATCATGCCATCCAGCTTGAGGATGTTGTCCCGAATGGCTTTGATCCGCTTGGATTCATCGTCTACCGAATCGTCGCTAAGGACGGAGTCGTTGTCATCGTCGTCTTCCGCATCATCTTCCTCGATCATGACTGATTCCGGAGAGACTCCCTGGAGGACATCCTCACCGACTTCATCCTCGATGTCCTCCAAATCCACTTGAATGTGAACATCAATCTTGACAAGCTTTTCCGTAATCAGGGAAAGAATATCTCCCTGAAGCTCCGGAGCATAGCTGATCACTCGAATGAGGTTCCGCGTATACGCAATGTTGGCCTTGGCCGAATCGGAAGCAAACGGAAACTGAGCAGACAGAAGAGGCGACAGCGTTCCACTACCAGACGGAATCAACTGCATAACATGGCGCAAAGCCAAGTGCACGCGGGAGTAAAGCACCGGCACATGCACAGACGGGTAACCCGGGATCTTTCCCGTGTCCTTGGGAAGCTCTCCCAGAAAGTTGACCAGCATCTTGAGCACAGCCCCCAGATAGCTTCCCTGGGCAGCGGCAAGGTTACCGAGAAAGCGTATATACAACTTGATGTACGACTCGTCCCGGCCCAGCCATACGCTATTCAGCACAGCTTGGACCAGTCCGTTGCAACTGCGATCCAAGGACGCAACATTTGACAAAAGACCCAGGAGATGATGTCTCAAGGACGTATGTGTAGGTACATCGTAGGCAAACATGTTGTCCTCATCCCGGCGCCGCGGGTCCACCGCAAAAGTCTCCTTGATGCGGTCGTACGCCTCGCTGTCAGTGCCAGAGACATGCCGTTGGATGGCCCTGCGCACCTCCTCGCGGACGACGGCTGCGCTCTTCTCTGGCTTCCGTTCCGGCTCAGGTTCCTCTTTATATGGTACCATTAAAACCTCCTTATCAAACTTCACTCGCGTCCGCTTCCGAGGACTCGGGCTCGTCTCCGCGTCGGACGAGGACGACGGGGACAGGGAGAGATCGCTGTAGTCGTCCCCCATCATCATCCTGTGCTTAATCCCAGTCGTGGATGGGGTGCTCTTAGGCGTTTTTAGAATGGACACAGGTGATGATGTAACTAGCATCTTGGATGAATTGGTCGTCGGCCTGGGCGCGATCGTTGCGGTGCGGGAGGCGGTGGCAAGGACGACCATGCCAGGATCGACGGTTCTATAATAATGAAATGGCTGGGGAGTGCTTGAAACAGGACCCCAGATCCAATCATGAGTTGCACTCTCACAGTATCACACGCGAGGAGTGGGATATTAAGAGATGGGAACAGATCTTGTAAGCAGAGCACACGACCCGACCAGTTGCAAGTCGAGAGATGATCCACCTGCTGTTGCTACAGATAACAAGCGCGCTTGGGAGTAAGGAAGGCGAATGATACCTTCATCGGACTGTCCAGCACACGCACCCTGAGAACACTGCGATGCACGAGTGTGTGAGAGGGAGACAGACCAGCAGTTGAAGGGGAGCCCGTCTGGAGTAAGAACTAGGAAGAAAGCAGACGAAGCGGAGAAGCAGAAACTCGACAGTGAAATTTTTTGGGTGTGGGGCGGATGTGGAGCCTCAGGCTGCCAGCTCGTGACCAGCGCGTGACCAGCGCGCAACAGCCTTACCTGATCGGGTTATACATTTCTTCGAAGTCCACCAGGTGGATCAAGAAAAAGAGATACTGTACGGAAATGTATGCACATGCATGAGATGCAGAACTTTCTGATGTATCATTCCATTGTTACAGGATCAATCCAATAAAAAGCAATTCTGGCAAGTGTCTTTCGCATTTGAAACGACGCTAAGGAAGAAGTATACAGATCCGAGAACCTCGTTAGACATGTCAGTCCGTCACAAAGCCAGTCAGCAAAGCGAATAATTCGATCCACGCAAATGGAACCACCATCCTGCAACCAGTAAATAGAAAGAAAAAAAAAAGCAAATCTGGGGTTGATAGATCAAGCTCCTCCCAGTGGTATCTAGCTAATTCAAAAAAAGATGAAACCGACTAATTAGATCACAAGACATTAAAGAGTGAATATGAGTGGGTCATGGCACAAGTCAATCCTGGCGAGGGAAGGAAATATCCAGTTCCTATCCAAAGCCCTCCAGGCGGAATCCCTCGGAAGTCAAAAAAAGTAAAGAAAAGATGGTAGAGAAAGTAAAACAGCGCAACAGGGTCATGATTCAAAGCCATGCCCCCGTACCGATCGGACCAAGATAATCATCAAAGACGCTTCCATAAAGGGCCTCGATCTCGACGAGATAGTCATCTGCGGTGAACTTCATTAATCCCTTATCTCGTAGAATCAACTCCTCATCGTCGAGTATACGGGTGCCACCGAACTCCTCGACCACCTCGTTCACTTGCTCGAGTTCCTTGCTGAAAGGATGGGGCTCGGCCTTGTAGCTATCCTGTGTCTGACGTGCAGCAGATGCATTGCGCAACGAGTTCAACGGAGGTGGGGATAGCCGAGACAAGGAACGCTGGCGAGCAAGCTCTTGGTGGGTCCGCTTTGTGTGGGAGAGCGCCCGTTTGGGAACCAGTGGCGCATCCGTAGAGGAGTTGGTCGATGTCGAGGAGCGAGGGTGGCTCGTGATGGTGGCAGATCGCTTCGGGAAATAGGAAGGCAATGGGTTTGGCTCGATGGGCGACTCATCGGGTGTAGTCAGAGGCGACCCAAAACTGCGTTGTGTGAAAGACATTTCCGAATCGTCAGGCGACTGCAATGACGAGGTAGAAGACGAAGTTGCCGAGTGGATGTCGGGCGCATTGTAAGCCAGCATGTTCGTCGTCGACAACAGCTCCACGGGAGCCGAAATCTTGTCTCGATTAATCGGACCAGCGTGTTTGTGTGGTTCCCGGTATGGCATCGGTGCCGAGACCTCGGGGCGCTTGCTGCGCTTGGTGAACGCTCTAGCCAAAGCCATAGTGACGATATTCGGGAAATTAAGGTGTAGTCGAGAACGCAATTGACGATAAGTGCTGGGAGGTGCAGACTAGGCGGTCGGGCTCAGATATAATGGCAGATATGCAGCTGGCCGGGAAAGGTCGATAGTTGTACAAGCAATATTGCTTTTTGCTATTTTAGGGTTTTCCCGTAACCGTCTCCTCGTTCGCGAGAGACTGACGCCTTTGGCGGTATAAGGAAAGAATGCTGATGGCCGATCGCGGGGTGGAGTAAGAGAAGGAATGGAAGATCGATCACCGGAATGTCCGTTATCAGATACAGTGGATGAGCTGTCAAACAAGAACCAAGTTGTCGCAGCGGAGAGGAAATCCGTGTCTAAATGAAGGCAGAACTTCCTCTAATTTCTTCTTTCTCTTCTTGTCAATTCCTTTTTTTGCTTTTTTCCTTGCACAGCAGAGAAAAATAAATAAATAGGACGGATGGAATGAGTGGTGGTGCTCGGGAAATGGAAGGTGGGCTGCCAGACTCAAGGGGGCGAAGAGATACTGCTGCAGCACGGTAGCACCACGGATAATGGTACAGGGTAGATCGGGGCGGACAACCAGGACGCGCCACGGGCGAGATGTGAATAGAATAAAATAAGGGTTGGGAAGAAATAAAAGTATGAAGGAAAGAATCCAGGATACACAGATCTGGGACTGGAAGAATGGGAAAAAAGGATCAAAAAGGAATGGTGCAGGAAATAAATCGGAGTCCCCCAGGGAGGAATGGGGAAGGGAAAGTAAAGGTAAGAAGAAGAGAGGAGAGGAGAGAGAAAAGGGAAGGGAAGGAAAAAGGGAAGAGGGGGGAAAAGAGGCGAGTTGAGTGAGTGGATGAGATGATGGATGAGGTGGATGGAACCACTCTCCCGCTCTGATTCTGGGCCTTGTCTTTACCCCCTCTTTTTTTTCTACTTTACTCTTTTCTCAGGCTTCCTCTCTTGTCTCTTTCTCTTTTCCAGTCCTCTGAGTGGGTACTAAAATTCAAGATGATGAATTTAAGCACGCAGAAAAGGGCTAATAGCAAGCCCTGATTCGACTGCGCTCTTTTTCTCAGCGACCCAGTCAATAACCCTTGGATCGGATCCTTGAGTCGCGACTCGTTCGCCAGGGTCTTTAGCCGACCAACTGGAAGAGTGGGATAGAGTTATGAAAGTGGAAAAACTTTGCCGTCGGTATTTTCTCCAACGGTTCGCCTGGCGCCTTGTAATGATGCGGGCGATGGTCGAGAACCACCTGTTCGCCAAAAGTCAACCATGGATACGCATTCTACGGGGCTACGCAGCAAAGAAACAAGCGAAACAGCCAGCATAATAATAACAACGAACTACGGAGTCCTGATGCTTCCTCTCCTCTCCTCCCACATCGTTTTTTTCTCCGGTGCTCCGACGGAGACAAGCAGGGCAGTCAGGCGCGGCTAGTCGTGCGATTCGATTCGGTGGTCGGACGGACAGGACAGCCTTGACCATCTTCCCCCGGTCATTTGCTTTTGTCGGGTGGCCACCAACAAAAACAATAAAGGAAATTCAGGGACCGACCCAAAGCTTCGTCCCGGCGCGTGTTTGGCGTATTGGATTTCAGGAGGTTAAATATTCAAATTCTAAAATTCCATCCCCCTCCCTCCTACATAGTACTCAACGTACCTTGAAGAAAGAAAGCCCTTGATAGGGCGGGACTCTCCCGAGTATCCCCTCCAGATATCTACTCCGTAGATAGTATAGACCGTCTAGTCTAGATTAAAAGCCGACCGAGCTCAAAAAACGATAGGAAAAATGATACACAGACTAAACCCAAGTGGGCGTCGTCAAACGGCAGCACCACCGAGGCTACACCAACTAAGGCCAAGTGGTGTCGGCTTGACGCCAGGAACGGCATCGCGGCTGGCCATTGGAAACCGCCATGTGCCCTGAGCGGTGGGGAATTGAAACAATCTGCCGTCTCAGCTGAAGGGGGGAGGAGGGAAGTTGCATGCAACTAAACAAGCTGGACATGACGTCGAAAGGAAGGGAGGTTCTCTTACATACATCACGTCCGTCCTTGAAAGACAGGCTTAATCTCCTACTTACCTACCTACATACTTGGACCCTCTCTAATGTAGGTACCGTGCCTGTCGGATAGAATCCGCGATCCGTTCCATGAGGGTTCTTTTCTGAACAATGGAGTTGTACGTTACCACCACACTAAACTAAAAAGTAAGACCACACGGAGATGCCGGGCGGGTCAAACCACTGAGTGCCTCTTTTTTTCTTTTTCGCTTTGTTTCCCCACCTGTGGGTCAACTTAATAAACTGGGCGGTGGTTTTCACCCGCTTATACAACTTGTACAATTGACCTGTGCTTTTTCGCCTCGATGTCCTTTTGTGAGGAGTATGCTTTCTAGGTATGCTGTGCGATGAGCTTCCGCTTCTTTCATTTCATTTTATTGTATTGAATTGTTGTTCTAATTAGGAGTAGGAATAAACATAATACTCAATAGTCACTATTTACTACTATTCATTAAAGTAAAGTGACCATCTACATAATAATATGTAAGCACCTTACCGCACGCCAATACCTAGACTACTTTCCGGATGAAGTTTCCACAACGACTTGCTCCAGCAACAAATGTACGATGCAGATTAGAATCCTTCACCACGACCATCCTCATCTACTACCACACATCTCCATCTCCATCTACTTTAGGCCTTGCAGACGAGATGCTTGCTCTAAGTGAAGAATGGAATCACCGGACCCGTCCACTCGCCTCATCGTGAGCATGTGATTGGTGTTCGAGACCGTATCAGACGATATCTGGTTTGGGTATTCTGCCGGTCGATCAATTTCATTCTTTCATCAAATCACTTTCATCGCTTCCAGCTTATTCATCGACTTTCATTCCGTTCTCGTCAACCAACATCTAAATTAACTGACTGACTGACTGACTGACTCGTCAGGTGAAAAGGTATTTGGGGTATCACAACGTTTTCATTGCAAAAGAGGTACTCTCAAAATATCTATCTATAAGTAGTAGAACTCCCGTAGATCCATTCTTTTTTACTTCCATTTTTTGTTGTTGCGGTCATTCAGGCTGAAGGCGTCCAAAGTTAAGCTTCTTCTCGTTTGTTGCATTGCATCTACTCAATCCTCATCCATCGACTCCCAGCCATCCGCACCTTGCGCCGCTCCAACCTCCTGCACGCCTTCCTCCTCATCCGACTCATCCTGATCGGGCTGAATACCGACCAGACGTTCCTGCACCTCTCCTTCCAGGGAAGGCATCCGCGAGACGAAAGCACGACGCACCGCCGCGTTGGTGGAGGTGTCCCAGATCTGGACCACGCCCTTGCTGCCCGCCACAGCCAGGCGGAAGCTCACATCAGCATCCGGCGCGAAAGTGGTCGAGAAGATCTTGCCCACTTCCAACTTGCGAGACACCACCATGCTGGGCTTGTCGTTCTCAACGTTCCAGAGCTTCACGGACTTGTCCGTTGATCCGGTCACCAGGTAGCCCGGCACGGTCGGGTTGACGTCGAACGACGACACCGACGAGTCGTGTGCCTGCAGCGTCCACACGGGCTTGGACTCCTTGGGCGAGGCGGGGATGTTGCGCACATCGTAGCGGTACACCATACCGGCATCTGTCGTCACGTAGAAGTAGTTCGGGTCGTGCTTGTCCCAGCGCACGTTCTCGACATCGGCATCCACCCCCCAGCGGGCCTTGGAGTCGGGGGCTCTCATATCCGCTGCGACAACGGTGCGGTCGTAACTACCGCTCAGCAGGACGGTAGACTCGGTCGGGTGCCACTCCAGCGCGCACACCTTGTCGGTGTGGTGGGAGTAGGACTTGGCGCACTTGGTGGTCTGGAGATCCCAGAGCTTCACGGTGCGATCGGCAGATCCAGAGGCCAGGAGGTTGCGGTGCTGGCGGTTCGCAGCCAGAGCGAGAATCGAGTCGATGTGGTATTCGTCGTTGGCCTTGGCCTTCTTCTTCTTGGACTTCTTCGCGCCGTTCTCGGCATCGGCACCGCCCTGTCCCAGGATAGCGTTGGGGTACATGCTGTCGACGACATCAAGATCCCAGATCTCAATGTCAGGCTCCATTGTTCCGATAGCCACGAAGTTGCCGGTAGTGCGGCCCTCGGCCGTCTTACCAACGGGGATATCCAACCACTCCAACGCCAACGGGATAGCGGGAAGCATGATATCGTGGTGAACGTAGAGGTTATCGGCGGCGTCCTCGTAGACGTAGACCTCCAGGTGAGCAACCTCGTCCTCAACCTTACCCGCCAACAGCAGGTTATCCGTCGGCATGATCTGCAATTCCTCTCTCTCCTCATCTTCCTCCTCAGGCGGCATAACCAGGTACGGGTCCTCCTCGTTGGGCTGGTGGTAGGCGAGCGACTTGACATTGCCGAACATGGTGATCTTTTCGCCGTCCTCGTCAACCTCGTCGCTGTCGTAGTGGTCCAGGTCATATTCCTTCAGGTCATCGTCGTCACTTCAATCATCAATATGTTAGCATCCATCCATTATTCCTTGCCGCAAATCCAGTCCAATGGTATATGTGAGACAGGACAACTCACTCCGCAGCACCATCCTTCTTCTCAACCTTCTCCTCCTCCTTAGAATCATCCTCCATAGCATCATCCGCACCTTCCTTCTTATCATCCTCCTCCATCTCCTCATCCTCCTGCGCAGCCTTCAAATCACCCTGCGCCTCTTCAAGCTGCATGCGCGCAAGCTTCGATATGCGATCCATTTCCTCCTCATTGATCTCATATTTCGTAGGGAACTGGGCAGCGACTCCGCGCCGCACCCAAGCGGAAGTAGTAATCATGGACATCGTGAGAAGCAATCAATCGTGAATAAAAGAAAAAGAAAGAAAAAAGAAGGATTGTGGAGATCCTGCCGTAGGCGATTTGCTCAACCTATACAGTTGCAAACTCGGACAGGACTATAAGACACAAAAAGAGGAAACCACAAATTCCTCACAAAGGTCCAAGTAGAAAAGAATGCCAACAGAAAAGAATAATTCCCCGTCGACAAGCAATTAGTTGAAACTAAAAGAAAAAGATTAATTTTTTTTTCTCTTTCCCCCGCCCGGCAGAATACTACCCGATCAAGTCCTTCACCGCCCGGCTTTTACGGAAAGAAATCCTTCCCCATTTCCGTTCACATATGGATCATTTAATGCATTTAGGACCGATTGCTGTATAGAACTTCAATTGATATCTCCATACATTTCAACCCAACATACGATACCGTTAAACAACATTCAAGATGCATTCCCACCTCCACACCCCCTACAACGCAAGTACGTTACCTCTACCCCATTTCTCCATCACCGACATCAGTTCACATCACATCATACCACACCAAGCACCCAACTAACTCTCCCCCTCAACAGACTGCGAAGAAATCATGACCGCCCTGGATGAATGCCACGCACGAGGCTTCATTCACAAAGCTCTGGGTGGATGCAACGATGTCAAGCGCGACGTGAACAAATGTTTAGCGGCGGAGCGGTATGCGCGCGCAAAGCGCAACCGGGATGAGGCGAAGGAGAAGCGCAAGAAGATCGAGCGTATTTGGGCTGAGGAGAAGGCGCTTGCGGAGACGGGGTCGATTTCTTCGTTGGCTTCTGCTTCTTCGGGTTCGAGTTCCAGTTCGGCGGAGAAATAAATCTGTAACTTTGCGCTTGGTTGATGGGATAGGGTGGGGTGCTGGTGCTGGTGGTGTGTATGATATGATTGATGTATGTGTCTGATGGGCTGGCTGGGTGCATGTGGGTTGCTTACATTGATTGGCGTTTGGGATTATATTATACTATATTATATCATATTTTTCTCTCTTCTTATGCTGCTACTGCTTCTTCAGTGTATGCTATGCTTCTTTGGGTTGTGTTGTGCTGGGATGGGTATGTTGGATGTTGGAATCGTCTATCAATATTGGTGATAACTACCTATACACAATTCATATGGACACTTTTTTATCTCGTCCGCCGAACGCCGTACCATGAAGTCAAGTTAAAAGAAAAGTAGCACCTTAGCAAAGCAATCAATCATCCATGGCATCAGCTGGCGTAGCAGCAGCAGCAACAGCCTCCGCACCACCCTCACCCTCACCATCCGTCCTCCCAGCACCGCCCTTATGATGACGACGTCTGCGCTTCGCCTTCGGCGCCGCATCTCCATCCTCACCCTCCCTCTCCTCCGCAGCGGGTCTCTCCTCCGCCTCTCTCTTCGGCTTCTCCGTCTTCCCGGCAGTGGTACCCTCGGGCGCCCTCTTCTTCGGCTTCTTCACACTCAGCGGATTCGGGCCCTTGGGCTTCTTCAAGTCCCTCTTCTTCTTCGTCTTCTCCCCGTCCGCAGCTGTCGTCGTCTTCTTCTTCGCCTCATCATTCAACCCAACCCTAAACTTCCCCTTCTCCACGCCCTCCCTAATCGCATCCGACGGGTCACTCATCGGCTCCAACACCATCACCGACCGCTTCACATACACAATCGGCACACCCGGAATCGACCGAGCCTGACGCCGCAGCAACCTCGACTTCCGAAGCGCCGCCTCAGCCTTATCCTCTGCGTCGCGCTTGCGTTTCCGTCCCGCGGCCGAGTTATCCGTCGCGGACTTGTCCTTGGCGTTGTGCGGGTCCGCCGTCGCGAGGATGTAATGTTCCTTGTTCTTTTTGCTCTCGGCGGACGGGGAGAGGAGGGAGAGCAGGCACTCGACTTCGTCGATGGGGGTCGAGTCGGCGTTGTGGGAGCAGTGGCGGAGAGGGAGAGTGGTGGGTGGGGGAAGGTGGTCAGGGCGGTAGGGGTTGTTGGTCTTAGGGTTGATGGGTTGGGAGGCCATTATTGCGGCGAGTGAGCATTTTGTGAGGACTGATTCATTGCGTTAGTATGCTAATTGCAGGTATGGTTGTGGTTGATATCCGGGGCAACATACGAGGCTTGGGTTTGCCTTGAAGAGTGCGCTCCAGAGCGGGGATCAAGTCCATTTTGAAAGAGTGGACGGCGCGGAGAAAATTGGAGTCAACTGTCACATTTTCTAGTTAGTATACCCTTATCCTTGACATGATAGTATAAAAGAATAGATAAATGAATGTCTGCATACCCAAAACCTGATACGGCTCACGGAACCCGAACGTAAGCTCATACTGGTGCATGAGCTTGCGGTACTTCTTGGATCGCTTGGCCCTCATCTTGACTGTCTGGTCGTCTGAGGTGCGTTAATATGTAGTATGTATGACCTGTGATGGGATTTGGGATTGGTGCAATTGGACTTTTTTTTCTTTGCTGCGGCGGTCACTTTTTTTTGCCGGGCGGAGGACAGAGCTCGGGATGTTGGTCTGTGCGTGGGCTGGCTAAGCGGCCGTTGATGGAGTCAATTATGGGGCCATCTTTCATCAAATCGCCTCTATGGCTCAGTGGTAGAGCGCATCACTAGTAATGATGAGGTCCGCGGTTCGATCCCGCGTGGAGGCAATTTCTTTTTCTCTTTTGTTTTTGTTTTGTTCGTGATGGGAAGAGATAAGTGTTGTTGTATATGTAGTGTGCGTGTATAGGAAAAGAAATTTCGGCTGGCCAGGTACTAAATAGGGTGTGGGGGAGAGTACGTGTTTACTTTTTGCCTCAAAAAGAAAGTTTGATAGATTGGCAGAATATGTCACGGGTATTTATGCAATGATAATAAGCAATAGTCTATGTCGCTGTGCCAGTAGAATATATATAGCCCGAAACGTCAAATGTCCCACAAACGCCATTACCTCCCCTTTGAACCGGTCCTCAAAGAGCCCCAGATCCCAACATGCAACATATACACCACCCATGCCATGCACATATAGTGCGTATGCAATGTAATCAAGCGATTGTCCGACGGCCGAGCCGAAGTTGATTCGGACATCTGCTATGTTGTCGATCGCCCTCTGTCACAACACCTCCAGACGTAGGTTTGTGCGGAAGTCAAGTATGAAAGGCTGTGCAAGTCAACTCCGTGCTGACATGAGATGTGTAAGCCCTGCTTCACCCCTAACCCACTGCCTGCGTGCAGGTCACCGGTAGATAGGTCAATTACGTCCTCCTCCTGCAAGAGCCGATTACCACACTGATATCGTCCATTTTCCCTGTATCAATATTAGTTTACCCCACTGAAACGGTATGCGAAGATACTCACCACCCTGCACGGCCAGTCCTTCATCCACCGCCTTCTCCATGTATGGACTCTCCGCAAAGGGATCTTGGGCGATCTCCAGAGCAGATTTGAGCAGCTCCCTCGCTATAAACACCATCTGCTCGTCCGCCATCACAGCCGGAGGCGCCCACTCCGAGTCCTTGTCTTCATGACGTCCTTGCTGCCACTTCTCCAGACTATCCAGGATGATCGTCAGGATCTCATGCTCCCACAGATTGTCCACGATACCATCTGACACGGCCACCACAAGGTCATCCTCCTGCACATCAATCAAGGAAAGGACTGCATCCTTCTGGGGAGTATCGACGCTGTTGGTGCCCAGCTGCATAGGACAGTCAAACCAATGCCATTGTTCCTTGGTCCGGAAGACGATTCTCTTCTCGCTAGGCCGGATGACATAGATCTTGCAGTCACCTATGTTGGTCACGTAAAGCAAGGGCCGTATATTTCCCGTAGCATCGCGCTTCCAATGCAGTATTGCTGTGACGGATGTGGTAGTTCCCAGCCATTCACCTGGGGAAGTCGTTGCTCGAATGGTTTCCTCGTATGCGCGTTGGAGATAGCCGATAGGATCTAACTCGGACTGGCCATTGGGTTCTCGTTCAAGTTCCAGGGCCCAGAAATGGAGGAGCAGTCTAGACCAAAGCCTATATCAACAAGAAAGGGCAAGTCAGCACGCGGGAAGGGAATGAGACGGGATCCAGTTGGGGTCAGTAGTAGTAGGGGCCCGCGGAGACTAGTACAGAGGGACAGAACAACGTACGCAGCATGACCTCTCGGCTTGGTTGCCCACGCCCCGACGCCATCATTCACGGCGAGGTAATTCTCCGCCACTAAAACAGCATCGTCGCCGTTGTTCAGGCCGCGGACCAGATCCCCCCGGACGGATAATCTCTTATCCTGACTCAGGTAGTGGGTGGTCAGCGGGTCGGAAAAGGAGGAAGAGGGCGGAGACAGGAACGGTGGGGGGAAGGGACGCGAGGGCCGTTTGGCGCAGAGCGCATAGCCTGTCTGGAAGCAGAAAGGCGAGCGGGAGATGGGGAACTGTGGATTAGGATCCGGGATGGGGGTGGTGATGCCGTAGGAAGGCCAGACGGCGCGATATCGTCGCACCCAGATGCTGGGGGCCCCGGAATGAGCGCTCCACAGTGGGCTGCGTCTAATTACTACCGGCGAAGCGAGAGGTGAGGAGAAGAATGATAAACAACCTGTCGAACTAACAACAGTCTTGGGCACCATGCCCGCTAAAGGTTTCCTAGAGATTGCTGTGCCGGGCGGGAATCCCAGACAAGCGCAGATACAGACAGACTCGTTTTCTCGGGAAGCTGGATTTTGGCCAGAGCCAAATGAAAATCTTGCCGACTTGCGAACCACGGCCAACTTTCTGACCAACTTTGCCCCATCCCCGGTCACCTGCGCCCCACCTGACTTTGGGTTTGTTGCGGTTGAGAGTATCTACAAAGATGTTGAGAAATGACAGGGGAAGCTTGAGCTTAAGCCTGAGCTTGAATTTGAATGATGAGCTAGCTAATTTAGAAGATCATTCTCACATTCCATTCACTACCACCCCATCTCCCCTTCTTTTCCCCATACAATTCGACATAACCCCCACACACCGACGCAACCATACTGGCAGGTAACACGAGCTAGTATTGGCTTGCAGATGGCCCATATTTATCATACCCCTTTACTTTTTATACCACTAGGTTGCATGTTCAATTTCTTTTTTAATTCATACGGACCATTCCCTCTCCTATGTAAACCATGTATAGATGTATCTACCTCATCGATGAACCATCCACTGATCGGACATGATACTCACTTTCCTTCGGAATCACTCACATTTCCCAACACTTTTCGTTGTACAAATACGAGATCTTCGGAAATATGATGATCGTCAGGCATGTCTACTCAGAGGGGAAAAGACCAAGGAAAATCAACGGAATCTCAGCAAAGAAAGAAAAAGCAATAACACCCCTCACTCCACGCACGCCTCAACGCTCTCATCATGCCACCCAACGCCAGTAAATACCAGACCAGCTACTCAATTGCAGTCGTTTGGGTTTAAATGATGCCGGCAAACAATTCTTTCTGCATCTCTTCGCCGAAGATCCTAACAGCCCGGTTCAGGGCCAATCCGATCACAAAGACGTCAACATCTTCCCGGATGGAAGAAAGCTCTTGGAACACGGCCTTCGAAAGAACCGTGCACCGGTCGCGAATTCCAAGAGTCCCACGGTTTGCGTTAACCTGACTCAGTAACAGGATCATATTCAACTCTGCGCAGGGGCAGAGACGGTCCGGATCCTGGGTACAATCCTGCCCGCAACTGCAAGCCGATTGGCATACACACTTTCTCCGTTTGGTGTATTCGATCAGCTGCTGCATGGTGCCCTGGTTCCGGAGAACACCCACAGTCTTGCCTTCGAGCATGGCTAGCGCGGCCTGCCGGTGATCCGAAGTACGTGCCCTTTCTGTGAATGCTGGGTCGACATTGTGCCGCTGTATGAAGGGGAGGGGCTGCTGGGGGATCATAAACTGATAAGTGTTTCTCGGTGTGAAGGACATGTATCTCTCAGAATGAACAATCAGGACCTTTGGCGGTGGCATATGGTAGATCAGGCCACTCCCAGCCCACTTCTGGCGAAATGAAGAATCCGGGTTGTCGATAATTCCAAGGGTAAACCTCCTATATCCGATAAGATCGTCCAGGGCGAACGGCATACTGTTGACCTTTGCCACAGCGCGGTGGACGAAAGTAGCCTGATAGTTCCGAACAGATTCTTTGTTAAAGATCTTGCAGACAGTCGGGCTGTCGAGGATCTGCTTGCAAGTCAAGAATATGTTGTACAAGTGGCGTGGCTCAGGGAGCATGAAGTTGTTATGCGAAGAAACGCGGGTTACCTCGATACTGAAGCAAGAGCATAGGTCGACCATGACAAGCTCCATCATAAGCCTCGCGTAAAGGGCGTGGTACAACTTCTCAACGCATTCAACCAAGGGAGCGATCTTCTTGGACGCGATGGCATCTTCTGCGTCCCTGATGCAAACCATTAGGCCGCCCTGAAATCCATCCAGCTAGAAACAGATACACCAAGGAGTTAGCGGCTATCCTTCTGTGCCGGACTTTGAGCTTATGATCTCCTTACTTCAACGCCATAGTGGATAAAGCACATGAAGACCACTTTAGCGACGGTGTATACCTTCACGTATACAGCCAGCACACTATCCCTCCAGGACGAAACATCATAACCCTGCGCATCATCCAGATTCTTGAGATACCCCGTGACAGTATTCCATTCGACAGCGCCGACAGCGTAAGGCGAAAAAGGAAATTCGGCAGGGGCCGTTCGCTGTCAAATTGGTGTCAGTTTCCAACCAGAATGGGGGACAGATTCACGACAAGATGCCAAAGCCAACATACAGCTGACGTGTACGACATCCCTGTGCTGTCCGAAAACCGCAATCCCATGCTCTCAACCGTATCTCTGTATTCTTCGTCACTCTGTTGTAGAACTTCCAACGAGTACTTGTAGAAGCCGTCAGTGTGCTCGCTGAAGGAAGAAGAGGAAATAGAATTAAAGGAACGGTGTTGGAGGTAGTCATGCTCGCTGCTCCTGGGTTCACGCCGAGTGAAGAGCTTACGCCGAGCGATAGCCCATAGCTGGGAAGCGGATCTGTGACTCGGTGTCATTTTGCTCGCTTTCCAAGATGATTCCATGAATGTCACAGTACGGCGGGGATCAGACTCCGTTTGAGTGGTGAGGCCGCCGATGAGAGACGAGATGAGAAGGTTAACGGTAAGTTTCAATTATTTGCAAGAGTAGACTCATGTCTTCTTGACAGGTAGAGAAGACAGTGAATTATCATGCTGGGTGTTAACACTACAAGATGAGAGGTGTTTCTTGGGTTGTGGCCTTATTGATGCTGGGAGTAAAAACGAGAAGGCGCTCACGGGGTCAACAGCCAGAGACAGTACCTGCTCTTCAGCCATTTCATCCTCACTGCTATCTATGACTTGGACAGATAAGCAGTTGCTACTACTTGAGAGGGAAATGGAGCTGTTCATCTGAGTACTGGTGAAAGCCTAGCCAGGTCTCTCGTTGTTTCTACTTTGTGAGTTGTAATTACCTTATTGAGGTATATAGAGATATGCGGTGCCACTCGCAAGTGCTTCCGTGAGGTGCTTAAAGTTGCCTGTGAAACACGATACAAACAGACCGGTATGATACACGTCTACAAACATTGCCTAATCATATGCATGATGTGTTGTCATGTTTTGATTTATATTGTCTTGTAGCTTTAGCACATAATTGCAAGTGTTTGCATAGAAATTCTATCTCCCAAAACAAAGTAACTGAAGAATACTATTTCCAGTCACCGGAAAGACGAAACAACAGGAAGCCTCCCCTAGAGAACAAGAAAGAGAAGAATAATAAAAGTAAAAAACCAGGTGTAAACTACAACAACCCAGGATCGACTTCAATAGGGGCCTTGTCCCCATGGCCAGAATAAGACAAGATGACTTCTGGTATTTTCCAAAGGACACTATTGGCCCTGTCAATGTATTCGGGCGGGATATTGGCGCTCTCGCTGAAAGATAGGGACTGCCAAGATTACTCTGTCAGCTTATTGAATGAAGGCGTCGCAGAACATAACTCCACTTACACGCAAGCTGGTCAGACCTCTGACCCATTCAAGGCCAAAGTCGCAAAATTCGTTGGGCAGATGTTCATAGTCTTCAATGGGATGGGCAAGTACCTGGTGGCAGTTTTCCAACCAGAGCACTTTGAGCTTCCGACCAGGAGCTAGACTGCTCTCATCGATTCCTTGCTCTTCTGGCTCGTAGGAAACTCCACCTAGCCAGTTTAAAAACTCAGGCTGTGCACCGCGACATGTTCTCAGTTTGAGAACAGTCAGCTTGGGGTTTTTCTTCACAAGCATGGTCAACTGCCACGGAGTGATGCCCGCCCGCTCCAGAATCAACGTCTGTAGCCCGCAAAGCCCATACTGGGGATACCGTCCTATACCGAGGAATAAATTCCATGCCGTACTTCCCGGGGCAGGATTCAGCCAAGTGCTAGGTCTGATGGGGCCGTCCCGAATGTGTGGATGCTCAAAGCGCAATGCTAGATGATGCAATATGTTTTTGCATTTGGAAGCTAGAGCCATGGCACCCTCGCTGTCAAGATCATACGCCATAAACTCCAGTTTCCTAAGTCCTCGGCCATACCGATTCACCACTTGGGCAAAAACCCTGTTCTGCTCCCTAATCATCTGCTCCAATGTTCGGGATTTCTCAAGTAGTGCAGGGCACCGTCTTTTCAAGCTTTTCATTTTCAGTAGAGGCTTGCTGTCCAAGTCGCTCGCAAGGCGGCTCATGGCAGGTTGGATGATGGATATTGTGTAGTCATTCGCTTGTTTGTTGTGACTGGAAATCTGTGCCATTTGATCCGGCGTGGTCCAGCCAGCCTGGAGCAAGGATATCACAGAGTGAATGCGCTTTTCAAAAACCCCTAATCGTAGACATTCAAGACAGAGGGTATGGGACTCATAGTTGGCGCGAGATGTTTCGCCGAAGGCAAGCAAGGACTCGAAGGGAAGGTAGGAAAGTATGTGAAGGATGAGTTCTAAGGGTAATAAGCTGATCTTGTCGGACAGTTTGTGAGACATGGCTAGACGTTTAACCCTCCCATAAGATCCTCTGACTGCCAGTAATATGTTGTCGCCCGTACTTTGGGCGCTGCCTGGTCGGCCACTCCGTTTGTCCGCAGTTCAAGGTCCCCTCAACATGGTCGCCCCAGGGGGTGGATAAAGCGGGAGTAAGCTACCACGAGCGGAGAAAGGTATGAATATGAAAAGATTCGGTCAAAACTATGACAGAAGCTGATTCCCTTGTTGTTAACGTTGGATTTTTGGCCGTTATATGGGCTTGGGTGGTCTAGGGAACTGTCTGTTGGCGATATAAGGGAAGGGAAATGCAGGAGAAACGCAATGATTGTTTGCGTAAAGCAGAACGGTAGCAGATATTGCTGCGGATCACATCTAGTTTTTTTCGCGCTGGAGCAGAAGCGCTGCGATATATAGCATGCAGGGTTGCGACGCTCTGGAGGGCTAAGCTGCGCCCTGGCAGGGATACCTTGCAGGCGGGGTCCCCCCGACAGTTTTAGTAGTTCTCACCGTCGAGACTGGCCCCTCTAGCCGAAGAGATGGTCACATTCTCGGTTGGAACGAAGTAGCGAGTGAGGATGCTCTACTTAAAACCTCAGTAATATTTCGCATCAAATAGAAGAAAGGGGAAACGTAAGCAAAAAGTGAATCAGCCACGAACAGGTGTTGCCATTGGGTTGCGGTCAGGAAAATCAAAAAGGGTTTACTCGGGCTCTAGCTATTGCTGTCACTTTTTAGTCCGGTGGGAACAGATTCAATATAGACGGCTTCTGCTAGAAAACCCACTTAACCAACTAGACGGCTGACCTGGCACGATCAAGGCGAATGGCCGCCCTCTTCTACAGCGCACTATCGGCTAGATAGTGCTGGGCATACAAAAACCATGCATGACTTGCTTGGGATAGGACGTGGCTCATGTCCAACATGTTTGCACTTCACCGTCGAGCTGGAAAATCCGGTGGCGCATGCCTTCTGTCGCGACCCGTCGCGGTGTTTCTCATTTGTTAGTGCAGGTTAGACTAAACTACACCCGCTGTACAGCTTGAACGGAGCGGGTGTCCAGTGTCACATGCGATCCTTTCACTGCTCGTGCCTAGGACTGAACTAGAGGAGCTGATATCCGGAAGAACGTACGGATTGGGGTCAGCGTTGACCGTTCTTGGCCATTGCGCATTTGATGGGGACGCCAATGCAGCGTGAATCCCTGGTGTCGGTTTGCAAAAGAAAATATGCGGTAATCCCACTAAAGTCGCAGGAAGCGGTTATCGGCATGTACCCCGTATGATAGATAGACCCAACATGGAGGATAGCACGCCGAGCCGACCACATCTCCCAAACACCCATCCAGCCAGCCAGCAATCAGGCAGTTACTCGACGGTGTCGAATAAAAACCTGCGGAGATGTCGGAGACGATCAACGTAGGTTAGACGAGAGCTGAGATCACCTCATCACCACAGCACCCCGTTTCTCCGATCGAGGCTGGCTAGATAGCGACTACCCCCACGAATCCTGGCCATCAGTCAACACCGGTTTAATCTCCTTGCAGTCAATGTGTGACACCGAACCGATCCCCTGGGACTTCTTGCCCAATTGAAGGCCACCTGTCGGGCGATCCGAGTCATATTTGACGATCAGGTGCATTAATAGGGCGGTTCGGATGGTTCACACGCTTAAATCGGGTCATCTGTTTGCTTTTCACCCAGCTGGACCTGTGGCTGCAGCTAGAAGACAGCCACGGTAACATATCGGAGTGCTTCGGCCGATCTGAGGCTCGATTCCGAATCAGTGCATCCTGCGCGAGTGTTCGTCGGCCATAGCGGAATAGCGCAGTGACTAGGCCCACGCCAGTGTGCTTAACGTGCAGGACGGGGTTGAGGTTAGACCGGAAAATACTCTGTGACAGATGGGGAAAGTGAAACATTGTAGTGGAGATTAAGGCGGCTCCCTCAAAGCGTTCATTTTCAGGTGTTTTCAGCTCTGCTGCAGCTTGTCAAGCATTCGTAACAGGGAAGAGAGGGGACGGGAGGGAGAGCTGAAGCAGCAGCCGGCGGTATTTATGGGTTGGTTAGTAGTGTTATATTGCAGCAAATAAAACAAAGCAAGGCAGCCGCACTACTACTTCAAGCCACATGCAGCTGTCATGCGTTTGACAATGCGAGATAGCGAGGATAAATATAATAAAAAGTAACGAAATCAAGAGATAAGTTAAGAAAAGGGAAATAAAAAATACTTATGATGCTCGACAACCTATACATCCTAGAGAAAAATAAGATCGACCTATGCATGTGCGTATGTCACCCCTCGCCTGCAATTTACAAAGATTATATTCTTGAGCCAGCTCTCTATCCCTGAACCCTGAAAGTACGGCCACTGGCCGTCTTCCTTTCTCGCTCCTCGTTCTCGGGCCGCGCCCGGTTGAGAACTATCATTCATTAGTGACATGGACATACCTTTATTGTTGGGGGGTCCACTCTTACCTTGGAGGAAGTCCGCGGTCCTCTTGCGCATCCTAGTGTGAATGTATGCCTGGATCCTAAGTAAGCATGTTGACCTGGCCTGCAAAATGACTTGGAGAGCTACCTTGGATGCTTTGATGTGGTAATGGAAGTAATCCCGGAAAATCTGGATGTGAGAAATGTTCTCATAGCGTCGCTGTGGGGTCAGGTGGCGAGGGAACAGGACTATGAGCGGTTAGTAACAGCTAACGGATGGGTGATGCATATCCCCGAATACATACCGAAAGTGACATAGCTGATACTACCGTCGTTACCGTTCTGGAGGCCAGGCACACCAGCCAGCTCCAGGGGACAGTCGTTTCGGAAGAGCACTTGAGGGGCATTTTGCAAGGTAAGGACACGGCGTCTGGCATCGACGAATTCCTGCAGGAACACCTTGCCAAAGATGCGATCTGTCTCCTCCCGGAACACTGTGCTGAAGATCACCGTGACACGATCATGACTGGCTTTAATGTAAATCGCTTCCTCCTCTCGATAGTGGATGGCCATAACCTCTCCTCCTTCCTTAACTCCCTGGGGCGCAGTCTCGCTCGTGTATCTCGAAGCCTCTTCGGCCAGCTTAGCGAACTCATCGAATGCTCTCTCGAAGGGGGCGGCCATGGCGTTGCGCTTCATCAGCGCCAGGCGCATGATAAGTTCATCCTTCGCCTCCTGCTCGGCGGGCAGGTTCTCTAGATCGATCAGGACGGAGAAGTCATAGCCGGGCTCCGGGGTGACAATGTAGGGGCCGTATTCCCTTTCCAGCACCTCCTGGGCACCGTACTGGACAAGCTCCCGGAAGCATTTCACGTTGATAGAAATGAGGATCTTGGTTTTGGATTCTGGCGTAGACAGATGGAAGGTCACCCCGTCAAAATCGGAAACGATTTGGTCGATTGACACGGGCGGGGCTCTGAAGGAAGCATGAATGGAGCTGTTAGCTGGTAGCCTGGCGTATACCGGAGGCGGGGGGGAAAGCTGTACCCAGAGAACCGCTCCGTCAGGAGGGAGTGGATGAGAACGTTGTGGTAGTCTAGCAAAAGCATGTTGACGGACGCATCCAATGATAATGAGTAATAGATTCAGATTCTCGACCTGCGATTCCCTTTCCTTTAATTCTGGCTTTCAATCCCACGAGGGTCACTGCCACGATGGGAGTTACGTTGATGGGGGCTTTGGGGAACCGGCAGGCGGTGGGGGAGGCCGGCAGTGGTCGCTGTCGCTCTCCGTAGCGACCGCCGCCATTTGCGCCTATCGATAGCATTCATTCTCCGAGCTCCCAAAATTTTTCCCAGGTCGCAAACACCCAACGATGGTGAAGTCATATTTGTAAGTGAGGCGCTCAAGGGTGTAGCATTTTACCCCGAAAGTATTTTCTGTGTACTGACTTCTTCAGTAAATTCGAGCATTCGAAAACTTTCGGGCTCATTGCGTCCGGCTCGTCGAATGCGATCTGGGCCCGGGACGATGAACTCGCGGGTTCCGCACGTCGGACAGGCTCTGGGCGAGCCTTCGTGGGTGCGAGCGAGGAGGTTCTCTGTTGGGACATTAAGAAGGGTGAACTACTGGGCAGATGGCACGATACGTCTTGCAAGGCGCAGGTCACGATAATCACGCAGAGCAAGACGGATGAGGATATTTTTGCGGTCGGGTAAGTTTTCTCGCCATTGTAGCATTTTGGTACGCTACCTTACTAATTCGGATGCCCCTTTGTGATATAGTTATGAAGACGGCAGCATTCGTATCTGGGATTCGCGGACCGAGACGGTGATTATTTCCTTCAATGGCCACAAGTCGGCCATCACTCAGCTTGCCTTCGATAGCACAGGTGTCCGCCTCGCAAGTGGTTCGAGAGACACGGACATTATTGTATGGGATCTGGTTGCGGAAGTCGGACTTTTCAAACTGCGCGGACACACCGATCAGATTACATCGCTCCATTTCCTTACCCCGTCCATTGAATTGCTCAATGAAGCCGGTCTCAGTGAGCATGCGGGTTTTCTGTTGACGACTGGAAAAGACGCTCTGATCAAAGTATGGGACTTGGCTGCGCAACACTGCATCGAAACACATGTGGCACAGTCCAACGGCGAGTGTTGGAGCCTAGGTCTCTCGCCCGACCAGAGTGGTTGTATTACGGCAGGAAATGATGGAGAACTGAAGGCCTGGTCGATTGATGAGAGTGCTATGATTCACATTTCCAAAGAGAAGGTTGGCTCGGAGGGACAGAAGATCTTGACGGACCGGGGCACGTTTTATCGAAATGGAAAGGACCGCACAATCGGAATCAGATTTCACCCTCGAGCGGACTACATTGGAATCCACGGGTCTGAGAAGGCAGTCGAGATTTGGCGCATTCGCTCGCAGACCGAGGTGCAAAAGAGCCTGGCCAGGAAGCGCAAGAGGAGAAAGGAGAAGGACGCGCAGCGTGCAGCTGACAAGGATGGAGCAGCTGCTGAGGAAGCCAATGAGAAATCAGAGGATGCCTCATCTGCGCCTGTCTCGGAAGTTTTTGTTCCTCACACTATTGTACGCACTGGCGGTAAGGTCCGGTCCTTTGACTGGATTCGCACGAAGTCAACTGGAAGTCTGCAACTCCTGGCCGCGACCACCAACAACCAACTCGAAGCTTACAGCGTTGTGACCGCGAACAAGAAGAACAAGGATGAGGAGGAGCCAGACTACAGCCGGAACTTGGCAGTGGACATCCCCGGCCACCGCACCGACATCAGATCAGTGGCCTTGAGCTCGGACGATCGGATGCTGGCGTCTGCCTCCAACGGCAGCCTCAAGATCTGGAACGTCCGTACCCAAAGCTGTCTGCGTACTCTTGAATGTGGGTATGCTCTGTGCTCTGCTTTCCTTCCTGGTGATAAAATTGTTGTTGTGGGAAACAAGGATGGCCAGCTTGAGGTTTTCGACATCGCCTCGTCGACCCTTCTGGATACGATCAAAGCGCACGACGGGCCGGTCTGGTCCATTCAAATCCACCCCGACGGCAAGTCTTTGGTGAGTGGTAGTGCCGACAAATCTGCGAAGTTCTGGAACTTCCAGGTGGTTCAAGAAGAAATTCCCGGTACCAAGAGAACAACCCCCCGACTCAAGCTGGTGCACACGAGAACGCTCAAGGTTTCGGATGACATCCTTAACGTTCGCTTCTCCCCTGATGCTCGGTTGCTGGCTGTTGCACTTCTGGACAACACGGTCAAGGTCTTCTTTGTTGACTCCCTCAAACTCTTCCTCAATCTCTACGGTCACAAGCTGCCTGTTCTCAACATGGATATTTCTTGGGACAGCAAGCTGATCGTCACGTGTTCGGCCGACAAGACCGTCCGTATCTGGGGCTTGGACTTTGGTGACTGCCACAAGTCCTTCTTGGCCCACGAGGACAGTGTCATGGCTGTTGCTTTCGTTCCGAACAACAAGGATGGTAACGGGCACAACTTCTTCAGTGCTAGCAAGGATCGAGTTATCAAATACTGGGACGGTGACAAGTTTGAGCACATCCAAAAGCTGGCTGGTCACCATGGTGAAATTTGGGCTTTGACCATCAGTCACTCTGGAGATTTCATCGTCACCGCTAGTCATGATAAGAGCATCCGTACTTGGGAGCAGACTGACGAGCCTTTGTTCCTTGAGGAAGAGAGGGAGAAAGAATTGGAAGAGATGTACGATAACAACCTGATGGCCTCCCTGGATCAGGACGAGGATGGCCAGGATGGAGAGAAGGCTGAAGCCGTTGACGCTGGCAAACAAACTGCAGAGACATTAATGGCAGGTGAAAAGATCATGGAGGCATTGGATCTGGGTATGGAGGACTTGGAGGTTATGCGCCAATGGCGCGCTCTTAAGGCCAGACAGCCTAACGCTGCACCCCCACAGCGCAATGCCCAGTACATGGCTCTGAACAACATCTCAGCAGAGCGGTATCTCCTGAACGTCGTTCAAAAGATCCCCGCAGCCGCTCTTCAAGACGCTCTGCTTGTCTTGCCCTTCTCGAAGGTGCCTGCTCTCTTCACGTTCCTCAATATCTGGGCCAGCCGCGAGTGGAACATTCCCCTTACCTGCCGTGTGCTGTTCTTCATCTTGAAGACTCACCACCGCCAGATCGTCGCTAGCAAGATGATGAGGCCGATGTTGGACGGTATCCGATCCGCGCTGCGCCAGGTCCTGGCTCGTCAGAAGGACGAGATGGGTTTCAACTTGTCGGCTCTGCAGTTCGTCGGCCAACAGATCCAGGAACAAAGCACAAAGGATTACATCGACGAAGCCGCCTACGAGGAGCAGGAGAGGCAGACGGGCACGGGCAAGAAGCGGCAGTTCATGAGCATTGCCTGATTGCGCGTGGGCCAGCGATATATACCTACCTGTACTACACATGCATCTGACTGGCGTTGAGACCTGAGATTTTGTTGTTTTGGATTGTTTGGTTACGAAAAGTTTTATACCTGGAGTTACACGTTCACGAACGGCTTCGATACACTGTAAATCGATATAGAGATATGTCAAATTATGAAACGATCCGTCCATACTAGCTTCCAACATAACAACTAAACAATTGTATTGCATTCATCTATTCAATTACTAATATACCGACCAAGACTTCGTCACAGAAAGACCTATAATAAACCTGTCAGCACAAGTACCCAACAGATTGGCAATCACACATATAGCGGACGAAAAGAATCCAGCCAGTCAAATCCAACCCAAAACCAAGAGGGACAGACTAGAACCAATTCACAACCATGAAAACACCACTCAGCAGAACCATTATAAGCATCGACGACAGTGAACATCCCTATTTTTAGGGGTCCCTGCCATTCCTCTTCCGGCTCTTCCTAATATACCGGTTCATAGAAAAATTCTCATCATATAGGTGTAGGTTGTGAAAGTGTTGATTGGTTCTACCCCTCGGTTTTGGGTATGGAGCTGCATTAAGGGAAAAAAAAAAAAAACAAGGTAAAATTGGTATGCATACCTGAGCAATTGTTAGTCGTGTAGTGTTGTGTTGTCGGATTGTGGCAAATTATATTGCGACTCGAACATTAGAGTCAGTCAAGCTGAGAGAGAGAGAAAACGTAGCTCCAGCTGTGCGAAAAGGAAAGTGGGAGAAAATGAAGAAAATGGGGAGGAGCTATTTTTCTTCGGCGGAAGTGTTGCGCCGGAGGCAGAGTGGGTGAGTCAGGACTTAGTCAGCTGGTTATTAGCTTGGGTCGCTTCAGCCTAGCATACTGCCACACCACACCGCCAAGATTTTATACAGATTCTCAAATGAGTTTTTGGGAGCTGTATGTTTCTAAAATCCGCTGAATCCGAGGATTTTTCATCGAGGTTCACTAGTTTCTGCCGTCTCTGGCGGTCAATGAAGCGGTAGGAGTGATTGCTGTCGCCTAATACTTTGCCTCCCCGCCTAATGGAGTATGCAATTAGTATATCCAGTAGATGACAATAAAGCTTATTGGTACTATAATACATGGGGAGTTTGTCAGTTGTCTATATGTGAGGTATGAGTTAGCAGTGTTCAATCACGCTGATATTCTCTGCTTTCATGCCTGATATTTTGGTTGTGATGCGGGGAACAATCAGCAGTCAAGGCGTACTGTGGTACAAAGTGCTGGTTACTATATGAAGGGCCCTGTTTGTATAGATTGGAAGTGTAAAGGGCTCTCTGGGTGGCCCTGAGCACTCAGGGACTATTATGGTCGACTGTTGCTGTAGGAATGTATTCCACAGCGAAGAAAGCCTAGAGGGGGTTGATTTTCGTGTTGACGTCTCTGAAACGTGGGTTTTAGATCTGAATAGTAGTATATGTCTGGTATACTAGCTAGCTTGTGATTAAAATAGCCTCTATACACTCTAATATCAGATGTTTTGCCAATTAGTACTAGCAGACATGAAGCTGGCCTCGAGGTTGAATTCTACATCGATATGCCAGAATAACTTTATATTGGCAAGAGAAAACCAATACAGAATGTAAATAATAAGTCTCTAAATTCATTCAGATCTAATACAATATAAGAGATTATCTATGCTGTATATCAAGTGCATACCTGAATGTTGACGGAGATCATGATTTCTAGTAGTAAAAGTCTATGAAATCTAGGGCATACTACTTACATAACCACACCATACATCAAGCAGCTG